TGTATATACACTAAACTGTTGTACTTTATATATATCTTGCACGCTGAAGTCGAAAGCGCCATCACGCACAAGAATTTTGGAGTTTGAGCCGCCTGTCGCTAGATGGCGTCCTCGAGCTAGAAGTATTGCGCAACTGTAAACTGTAAGCATTTAGAAATACTATACTAAATGTAACCAAATATGATGATTTTTAGAAAATATTGGCCAGTCGCATGAAGAGACTGCTCTGTCAATGTTATTTTGTGGGTACTTTAGTAATTTCCAGACGCCTGAGGGCGGTATTTAGCGATCACATCAAACCTACAATGCGAGTAAGACGATTTACTGTAGAGACTGTTATGTAAATCGGCACGTGCAGTATATACACGTCCACATGAATTATAAAACAGTTCCACATATAATATTCAATGAAAACAGATTTACATATAATAAATAATAAAATTGATATTTGAAATAGCTATAATTAATAAAGTTAAATAATAGATACTAAACAGTTCACACATATAATATGTAATAAAATGAACATGTGAAAGAGTTCTACATATAATATGTCAAAAAATTGACATGTAAAACAGTTCCTCATATAATATGTAATAAAATGAATATGTGAAAGAGTTCTACATATAATATGTCAAAAAATTGACATGTAAAACAGTTCCTCATATAATATGTAATAAAATGAATATGTGAAAGAGTTCTACATATAATATGTCAAAAAATTGACATGTAAAACAGTTCCTCATATAATATGTAATAAAATGAACATGTGAAAGAGTTCTACATATAATATGTCAAAAAATTGACATGTAAAACAGTTCCTCATATAATATGTAATAAAATGAATATGTGAAAGAGTTCTACATATAATATGTAAAACAATTGACATGTAAAACAGTTCCTCATATAATATGTAATAAAATGAACATGTGAAAGAGTTCTACATATAATATGTAAAGAAATAGACATGTAAAACAGTTCCACATATATTATGTAATAAAATGGACATGTGAAAGAGTTCCACTATATATGTAAAGAAATAGACATATTGAACAGTTCTACATATAATATGTACGGTAATAAAATGAACATGTGAAAGAGTTCTACATATAATATGTAAAAAAAATTGACATGAAAAACAGTTCCTCATATAATATGTAATAAAATGAACATGTGAAAGAATTATACATATAATATGTAAAACAAATTGACATGTAAAACAGTTCCTCATATAATATGTAATAACATGAACATGAACATGTGAAAGAGTTCTACATATAATATGTAAAGAAATATACATGTAAAACA